TAATTTTCCAAGGTTAGATATTCAAAACCCAGTTGGTGCTCCCTCTTAGGACTCGAGGGGGAGGATCCTTCCTTGGTCTTCCGGGAGTTTAATGCAATAAATCTTTTCACTCTCTACTTCCTTTTCCCATGATGTTCTTTGTGTGCCGTGTCTCTTCTCTTCTTTTGGTAAGAACACCAGTCATAGTACAATATGAACACCCTAATGCAGGATGACCTTATCTTCACTTGATTCCTTTGTAAAGCCTCTATTTCCAAACAGTGTCATGTTCACAAGTGAATGTATCTTTTAAGGAACAATGCCACTCACAGCACACAGACTTCCACTGCTGTCTCTTATCTTTTTTTTGGTCGGTCGTGGGGCTTGAACTCTGGGCTTGGGCGCTGTCCCTGCGCTCTCCAGCTCAAGGCAAACACTCTACTGCTTGAGCCACAGTGCCACTTCTGGTTTTCTAGTGGTTTTTATTAGAGATAAGAGTCTCACGGACTTTCCTGCCCGGGCTGGCTTTGAACCTTGATCCTCAGATCTCAGCCTCCTGAGTAGCTAGGATTATAGGTGTGAGCCACCGGTGCCCGGCTGTCATTGTCTTTTGTGGAATAGCACACAACCAGTTCAATAAGGTGAAAAAAAAAGAGAGAAAGATGTATAAAGATTAGGAAGGGACATGGTCCCCAAAGAAATACTTATTAACTATAACCCCTCTGCACATCACCTTTATAATAGCAATAACAAATGTGAAAAGAGATTAGGAGGAATAAAACCTCCATTATTCATGAATGATATAATAATCTATGGAAATATTCTATATATCCTATAAACAACTAGAACACATTCATATATATGTTTACTTATAAAATTAGTTTTATTTCAATAGAAATAGGAACATAGACAGGAAATAGATGCCTAAAAAGGTACTGTTAAGAAAGTATAAAAAACCAAATACTTGGAAATCAATTACACACACACACACACATCCTTTTATGCAGGAGGGTATAAATTCTTGTCAAAAAATTAAAAAATACCTAAATAGGTTATGTGAACAAAGCCTATTCATAATTCACGAATGAATTGTAAATTTTCTGAGTCTTTACAAAATGATCTATATATGCAATACAATCCCAGTCAAAATCCTTGCTGATAAGATTTTGGACAAGCTGATTCTTGAGTTTATATGAACCAGGAAAATGTCAAGAACAGCCAAGAATTTACTGACCAAAGTTGAGAGGACATATACTATGAATATTTATTATTAAGCTACTTTAAGACCATGAGGTATTAGACAGATAGGCCAACGGGACAGAATTAGAGTTCTCCCAAACAGGCCTGTGCATTTATAGACACTTGTTCCAAAACAGTTGCAGTGACACAGCAGTGAATAAGTGAGACATTCTTTAATAAATTGTGAAAACTGGGAGAGAGCAATGGAAAGAGTGACCCTGTCCAAAAAGAAGTGTACTCCTTACCTGACTCATGAAACTGTAACCCCTCTGTACATCACCTTTACAGTCACAATAAAACATAATACAGTGGACACACTCAGATTGGCCAATCTTTAATGTTTGCCTTTTTATGTGTGTATATGATGATGTGTGTTTATCATACACTATTGTATAAAAATTATACATGAACTACTATGTGTATATACAATAATTATTTATGCTTTTTCTGCATTATGGCTGAATTGGATAACATTGGTAGCAGATATCATTTTAAATACCTTGGGCTGGGAAGGTGGCTCAGTGGTAGAGCGCTTGCCTTGCAAGCCTGAGGCCCTGGGTTCGATTCCTCAGCACCATATAAGCAAAAAGAAAAAAGCCGGAAGTGGCGCTGTGGCTCAAGTGGTAGAGCGCTAGCCTTGAGCTGAAGAGCTGAGGGACAGCGCCCAGGCCCAGAGTTCAGGCCCCATGACCGGACCCCCCCAAAAAATAAATAAATACCTGGATACCTGCATGTTAAAAAAAAAAAAAAGGAAATTTGCTTCACCTTAAACTATACATCAAGCTGGGCACCAGTGGCTCACGCCTGTAATCTTAGCTACTCAGGAGGCTGAGATCTGAGGATCATGGTTCAAAGCCAGCCCAGGCAGGAAAGTCTGTGAGACTTTTATGTCCTATAAACCACCAGAAAACCAAAGTGGTGCTGTGGCTCAAGTGGCAGAGCACAACACTCAGGCCCAGACAGAGTTCAAGCCCCCTGGCCGACAAAAAAACAAAAAAAAAACCCCCAAAACTATGCATCAAAAATAGCTGCATGCAAAATCATTGAAAATTTTCACAAATTAAAAAAGATCACACCAGAAGATTGCATTCATTTAAAGTTGAAGCAAGAAGTCAGGATTGAAGTCAGAAATACAGTTAATTCGAGGAGGAAAATGTGTTTGTAAGTAGGACAGAGTAGAAGAGAACTTTCTAGAGAGCTGGTAAATATTCGATTTCTTTTCCTAAAGGTGGCGGGGTGGTAGTATAAAAATAGTTGAACACATCTATTCACGTAACAGGAAATATTTATCACACTCTTCCAGGCACTGGGCTAGATCTGGGTCATCCTTAGGAATAAAACCAGCCAGGATCCTTGCTCTGGTGGTGCTGGGTCTGATACCAGAGCCAGACTAAAGCAATTACAGAGAGGAGTGCAGATAAATCTACTCAGTCACCCCGTGGGGTGTCTGCTCTGAGAGATGCCCTTGGCATGTTCCACACAGGGCCTGTCATTTTATGGTGCAGGGTGAGATTTGATGCGATCAGATCCTCAGTGGACTGCATTATAAACACCTTCTATCTCTAAGAAGTGGCTACTCCTCTCAATGAGAGCAAATGTTTCCAAAGTCGTTTTAGACATACTCTTGGAAATGTCATCTTCTTATTCAAGGAAAATCTTACTTGGAAAGTCACATCAATAGTTCCTAAAAGAAAAAATCAAGAGAATTATTATTAACTATAAATTTTAAGTTTAGGGATATCTTGCTAAAGTCAAAGAGTCTTTTCAGATTCACAGTTCAAAATGCAGTGTTTTAAGATAAAACTTGCCAGGTTATAATACTCTTATAGGTTCACCGTAGAAGGCCAGGAACTCAGAAAATTACAAATTCCATATTTCTATCCCCACAGCTATTGTTTTAGTGTATCTCTTTAGCTGTTGCTGCTGCTGCTGCTGCTTTCTAGCTGTTTGAATTCAGGGCTTTATTTACACTTTCCAGGCAGGTGATCAACCGCTTGCATCACGCCTCTAGCCTCTTCCAATCTTTTCGTGCACATATGGGGACTTGAACTCAGGGCCTGGGCACTGTCCTTTAGATTCTCACTCCAGTTGAGCCACGGCTCCACTGACAGCTTTTTGCTGGTTAATGGAGGTAATACAAATATCAGGGACTTTCAGCTCTGGCTTCACTGCGATTCTCGGAGTAGAGCCGCTAGGGTTCTGGGCTTGCCGGCCGCTCTCAACTTATAGATTGTCTTTCTGTGCTCATGCTCTCGGTTCTGTGGTGTTCACGCTCTCGAGTCTGTGTTCACACTTTCTGTTCTGTGTTGGTGCTCATGGTCCTGTGTTGGTGCTCATGGTTCTGTGGTGTTGGTGCTCATAGTTCTGTGTTCATGCTCACAGTTCTGTGTTCACGCTCTGTTCTGTGTTGGTGCTCATGGTTCTGTGTTGGTGCTCACGGTTCTGTGGTGTTGGTACTCACAGTTCTGTGTTTGTGCTCATGGTTCTGTGTTGGTGCTCACGGTTCTGTGGTGGTATTGGTGCTCATGGTTCTGTGTTCATGCTCACGGTTCTGTGTTCACGCTCTGTTCTGTGTTGTGCTCATGGTTCTGTGTTGGTGCTCACGGTTCTGTGTTGGTGCTCACGGTTCTGTGGTGTTGGTGCTCACGGTTGTGTGTTGGTGCTCACGGTTGTGTGTTGGTGCTCACGGTTGTGTGTTGGTGCTCACGGTTCTGTGTTGGTGCTCTCATCTTGGTTCTGTGTTGGTGCTCACGGTTGTGTGTTGGTGCTCATGGTTCTGTGTTGGTGCTCACGGTTGTGTGTTGGTGCTCACGGTTGTGTGTTGGTGCTCACGGTTCTGTGTTGGTGCTCTCATCACGGTTGTGTGTTGGTGCTCACGGTTGTGTGTTGGTGCTCACGGTTGTGTGTTGGTGCTCACGGTTGTGTGTTGGTGCTCACGGTTCTGTGGTGTTGGTGCTCACGGTTGTGTGTTGGTGCTCACGGTTCTGTGGTGTTGGTGCTCACGGTTGTGTGTTGGTGCTCACGGTTCTGTGGTGTTGGTGCTCACGGTTGTGTGTTGGTGCTCACGGTTCTTTGTTGGTGCTCTCATCTTGGTTCTGTGTTGGTGCTCACGGTTGTGTGTTGGTGCTCATGGTTCTGTGTTGGTGCTCACGGTTGTGTGTTGGTGCTCACGGTTGTGTGCTGGTGCTCACGGTTCTGTGTTGGTGCTCTCATCACGGTTGTGTGTTGGTGCTCACGGTTGTGTGTTGGTGCTCACGGTTGTGTGTTGGTGCTCACGGTTCTGTGGTGTTGGTGCTCACGGTTGTGTGTTGGTGCTCACGGTTCTGTGGTGTTGGTGCTCACGGTTGTGTGTTGGTGCTCACGGTTGTGTGTTGGTGCTCACGGTTCTGTGTTGGTGCTCACGGTTGTGTGTTGGTGCTCTCGGTTCTGTGGCTGCTCTCATCTCGGTTCTGTGTTGGTGCTCACGGTTCTCCGTTCTTCACCAGGCGAGTTTCCCACTGAAGTAGCGGCTAGGCCGGCTCGCCATCGTTACCGGATCTTCCCAACACACTCGGTCCCACGGGGTCTCCACAGGGACTCCAGGGGTCCCCACGGCGTCCCCTCGGGGTCCCCGCGGCCTCCGCCGCGCCCCTCCCAGCTCCGAATTCCGGCCTCGCCCCGCACGGAGCCGGGGAGGCCGCGCCCCGCCCGGCCCGCCCCATCTCCGGCCCCTCCCCCGCCGTCCCGGGGCGCGCAGGCGCAGCCGGCCGAGCCTCGCCGCGTCCCCGCCGCGCCGGCCCCGCAGCGCTCGCCATGGGCCCCGGGCCCCGTCTGCTGCTGTCGCTCGCGCTCGGCCTGGGGCTCGCGGCGCTCGCGTCGTCTTCCGGGGCTCCGGGCGCGCGCAGGCGAGGCCCCACGGTGACGGCCAAGGTGACGGGCGGCGGGCGGCGGGCGGCGGGCGGCGGGCCGGGCTCCGGGGAGGAGCGGCGGGCCACGTCCTCCCGCGCGGCGGGGACGGACGGACGGACGGACGGAGGCCCGGACCCCCGGCCCCCGCCTCTCGCCCTCCTCCGCCTCCTCCTCCACCCTGGGGCGGCCGGGGAAGGTGGGGCAGCGCGAGACCCGCGTCTGTCGGTCCGTCTGTGTGTAAGTGGGGCGCAGGTTCGAGCCCCGCTTCCGGCCTGTGTTGCCGGGTGTGGACGCGGGGGTGTCGGAGGAGGGCGGCCCGTCCCCGGCGGGCGCGGGGCGGGAAGGCCAGAGGCTCGGGACGGGGAGAGGGGAGGCCCCGCTGTCCCGGGGAGCGCAGGCCGGTCCCCCCGCGGGCGCACGGAGCCCCGGGAGCTGGACGTGCCCAGGGCGCCCTGCCGGTTCGCCTTCCCGCCGCGCGCTCAGCTGTCACCCGCCGGGGAGCCCGAGCGAGGTCCGGGCGGCGCGACGGCCTTGACCGCGTGGCCCGGGCGGTGCCCAGAGCCGGGGCCCGGGTCGGGGGCGGCGAGGCCAGCAGCGGCCTGAGCTCGGCCGCCCCGACCCCGGGAGGCCTCGTTCTGGGTGCGGGTAGAGCCGTCCCTGACCACCCTGTCTGTCTGTCTGTCTGTCGTGTGGGTAGAGCCGTCCCTGACCACCCTGTCTGTCTGTCTGTCTATCTGTCCTTCTGGGTGCGGGTAGAGCCGTCCCTGACCACCCTGTCTGTCTGTCTGTCTGTCTGTCGTGTGGGTAGAGCCGTCCCTGACCACCCTGTCTGTCTGTCTGTCTGTCTGTCGTGCGGGTAGAGCCGTCCCTGACCACCCTGTCTGTCTGTCTGTCTATCTGTCCTTCTGGGTGCGGGTAGAGCCGTCCCTGACCACCCTGTCTGTCTGTCTGTCTGTCTGTCTGTCGTGCGGGTAGAGCCGTCCCTGACCACCCTGTCTGTCTGTCTGTCTGTCTGTCGTGCGGGTAGAGCCGTCCCTGACCACTCTGTCTGTCTGTCGGTCTGTCGTTCTGGGTGCGGGTAGAACCGTCCCTGGGGCCTCATGTTTGCCCCAGGAAGGACGGCCGCCATTCAGTGCCCAGCGTTGCAGGAAGGCCTTCGAGCCCCTGTGGACTTGGATTCGGGTGGTTGTCTTAGGCCGTTGAAATTGACGTTGGAGGTCCAATTAACAGGTGGTTTAGAGCAGAGATGGTGAGGAGAAGGGAGTAGGATTGCTGAGAGAGAGAAAATCAGGATGCATGGCCTCCCAGGTACCTCTAAGATGAACGACTGACCTTAGTGTTGAGACATTCCATCCAAGAAGCCTGTGAAGCGCCAGCAGAGCCCCAGCAGAGCCCCAGCAGAGCCCCAGCAGGGCCTGTAGGCAAGGCTTGGGGTGTGACCCCTCACCAGCTTTTAACACTTTCTAGGAGTTCTGGGGTGGGAAGCCAGGGGTATTAGGACCAGCAGGGAGAGGGCCCGGAGGCAAAGGCCTGGCCAGCCTGTTCCCAGGCGGAGGGCTCTGTCGCTGAGGGATGTGTGCCAAACTCTCTGAAATGTCATTTCTCTAATCTGTTTATCCACCCAATGTATCAAGGTCTGAAAGCTCATGGTATAGGCAAGTCTTGTACACATGTCCACTTACTCTGTTCAATTTATCCCTTTGCTTTTTAGAACAACTAAATAAGATGAGAAAATGAGGCCATTAAAAATAATCTCTGCCAGACACTGGTGGCCCATGCTTGTAATCCTACTCAGGAGGCTGAGATCTGAGAATCATAGTTCCAAGCCAGACCAGGCAGGAAAGTCCATGAGATTCTTATATCCAATTAACCACAAGAAAGCCAGAAATGGAGCTGTGTCAAGTGGTAGAGTGCCAGCCTTGAACAAAAATTGTTAAAGGACCACGCCCTGAGACTCTGACTTCAAGTCCCAGTACCAGCATACACACATGCACACACACACACACACACACACACAAGTTGAAAGCTATTGCACTTTGGGTGGGTGGAAGTATACTGCAAGGTTGTGTGCAAAAAATAGATTTTGATTGTCCAGCAATGCTGGGTGACCAGCTTTCTTTCTTTCTTTTTTTTTTTTCTTTCTGTACTCCTCTAAGCTTTATTCTTGCTTTCTAACTCCTCACAGGTGCAAGTTTCTCCTCTAGTTTAAAGCTCTGCAAGAACTTTCTGGTGGCTGGCTGGCCGTTTCTCTCAGATTGCATGGCTGATCTTCTTGGGGCTGCCATGCTGGGGCCTATGCTGCGTTGAAGCAGTCTGGCAAGCTTCTCTATTTCGAGGATCAGTCTCAGTCTTCCATGATGGGCACTTCCTGTCCTTGGGCCACACAGAGTTCTTTCCTTTTCTGAACTGCCTAACCTGGAGGGAGGGTCTTCATGCTTTCTGGAAAGCTCTCTTACATAAATAATAATAAAGCTAGTGCCGCCCTGACATGTAGAAACTGTAAATGCCACACAGAGCGCTGAGTACCCCATCACCCATGACAGGCCTGCTGACGTATTGGCAGAAGCTCTTGTCTTGAACTTCAGCTTGACAGTCTTTACTTACTGATTTTTCTAAACTGCAAGACATCTTTTTCCTTTGACAACCCTTCTTATATTTTTTAAAGCCATCTCGTGAATGTCTTTTTTTACCCATTCAAACAGTAAATTGGTTCCTATAATCTAAACTTGCTAATAGAATGCCCTTTGACTCCACGGCCTTTTCAAGCCTCTGTCTCAGAATTGTCTTCCGACAGTGATTTGTGAAGCATAAATGTGTATAATTTTGTTGCAGATGAACCAGTTAAAAAAAAAAGTCCAAGAGAACTTTGAAGGTTTAATCTGCAAAGAAAATGACTCATGGTCCCTTCTGGATGTGTTTCCTTTCTTTTGTTCTAGCATGGGACAGAGAAAGCACAAACACACGTGGGTGACTGTGGGACCTGGGGGCGGAATCCAGTTCTAAGTTCAGCTTAGGATCTGAGTGGGTTTGCTGCTCTCGGGGTGAGGCCAGGACCCGGGGCCTTCCCTGGGTGCATATGGACGTGCATATGCACATGTGCAAACACACATACATGTACACGCACACACAAGCATGTTTTCTACTACTTTCCTCACCTATGAAGTCAGGACACCGGTAGAGTTGGCCTCAGGTGCAAGGGAGCAGCTGGGTTCTTGAAGACTTTGTTGACTGAACTTGAGAGTACTGAATCAACGTTTAAACTCAGTATCAAGTGCAGTACTTGCACTTGGGTACCTCCAGTACCCAAAGCAGTTTCCAGTAAGTACTTGTTGAGTGAATTTCTCACATAATGTATTTAGAGCAGGAAGTTTATCTGATATCAGATCTCTTTACAACTCCATTGTAAAGTATTTGTAATGTTGACTTAGCTTGAAATTTTCCATATTGTAAAACCCTTTTATTTTTTGTATTTCACTTACCCACAGGTCTTCTTTGATGTGAGGATTGGAGACAAAGATGTGGGCAGAATTGTGATTGGCCTCTTTGGAAAAGTTGTGCCCAAGACAGTGGAAAATTTTGTCGCTTTGGCAACAGGAGAGGTCTGCCTGTTTTATTTCCTTTAATTGGGCATAGCATTTATTTCATCTTCTTTCTCTCTCCTTTTTCCTTTCGGTAGTACTGGGACTTGAATTCAAGGTCTTGAGCTTGGTAGGCTGGTATTCTACCACTTTAACAACACCTTCAACCCCATTTTTGTTGCTTTTTGGTTTTTTTTTTGCCAGCTGTGGCTTGTACTCAGGGCCTGGGCACCATCCCTGAGCTTTTCTGCTAAGGCGAGCGCGTTTGACTCACAGCTCCACTTTTTCTGGTTTCCTGATGGTTAATTGGAGATAAGAGTCTCATGGACTTTTCTGCCGTGGCTGGCTTTGAACTGTGATCCTCAGATCTCAGCCTCCTGAGTAGCTAGGATCACAGGCGTGAGCCATTGGTGCCTTGCCATGTATTTTTGTCAGCCGATGATAAATTTTTCTCGGCCTAATGGAGTTCCATAGTGATTTTGGTATCTCATTGTTAATCAGTCCAGGGGAGCACAAGGGCCTCTTGGGGTGGGGGGTTATTTCTACTTGCGTATTTAATTGAAGTCATCTCTTTAGAAAGGGTACGGATACAAAGGAAGTACCTTCCATCGCGTCATCAAAGACTTCATGATTCAAGGAGGTGACTTCACGGCTGGAGACGGCACCGGTGGTAACGTTGCCTGTTGTCTGCGCCTTTCTCCTTTCCCCCTTGCTTTGCTAAGTTAGGCCCCGAGATGAAGGCAGCGTAGTAACCCGGTGCGTCAAGGAACAAGGCCCCAGACTCAACTCTGCCTCTGGAAAGGATGGGGTGGGAGCCTCCGCTAGCACACACTCCCTGTCCTCTTGTGGTTCCAGGAAGTGGTCAGCGCTCACTGTCTTCTACAGTGGACGTGCGTTCATTTGGCAGAACATTTGCAGTTACTACAAATGCAGTACCACCAGTTGGTAGCGGTGTAGACAAATGGGTGGCCACAGAGGGCAGAGCTAACACACAAGGCCATGCGTGCTTGAGGGGCGCCAGTGGTGGATGAGGGGGGTGGGCGGAGGAGGGGCGTTGCACACGAGCATAGCACTTTCGTCCCTTCATTCAGAAGTTTCCTGTTATTGCAGCGTGCCAGAGGCTCACACCTGTAATCCTAGCTGCCTATGAGGTTAAGATCTGAGGATCACGGTTCAAAGCCAGCCAGGGCAGGAAAGACTCATCTCTGATTAACTACCAAAAAGCTGGAAGTCGAGCTGTGTTTCAAAGAGGTAGAGTGCTAGCCTTGAGCACAAAAGCTCAGACACAGTGCTCAGACCCTAAATTCAAGCCCCAGGACCAGCATACAACACACACACTCACACACACACACACACACACACACACACACACGTTTCCTGTCATTGTTAGCCTTTTATTGTTGTTGATGTTATTGCTTTTGGTTGTGGTTGTTTATTGGACTAGAACTTGAACTCGGGGCCTCTCACTTCACTAAACTTGTCTGTTCAGCTAGTGCTCAACCACTCGAGCCACACCTCAGTCTAGCATTGATAGTTAACTGGAGCTGGAATCTCCCAGGCTGTTCTGCTTGGGCTGGCTTCGGCCTGTGATGATCAGATCTCAGCCTTTGGAATGGTTGGGATCACAGGTGTGACCCACCGGAGGGAGCCTGGAGAGACACTGTGAGAGCGATGGCTCCTGTTGCGGCCTCCGCTTTGCTGAGCTTTTCCTCTTCGTAGTTGGTCCCTGGTTGCACGTCACTGCGGTCACCCTTTTTGTCCTGGAACTCTGAAGTCCTGGGCTTGACTGCGGCCAGCTGCTGTGGTGTTGGGGCTGAGGCATGGCGCACTATGGGTTCTAAGTGAAAATCTTGCTCTATTTTTTTTTCAAGTTTTGTGACTTTCCCAGTGCAGCCTGGGACAGAGCAGCCTGCCCCCTCGGGTCGCTGCAAGAATAAGCTCTGTGCTGGGTGGGGGTGCAAAGGCGGGAGTGGCCGGGAACACGTGACCTGGACCCAGGCTGCCCACCCCACTGCACCTGGCTTTGGGATCCCATCCTGCCCCTCCGTCCCTCCTCCTGCCAGAGAGAGACTATTGGGTTTCCCTTGGCCTTTGGGGACACACCATCTTGTGCTCTACGGAAGGCTTTGTCTGTGGTTTGTTTCAAGTCTGGTTTCTTTAAGAGGTTCACCTGTCCCCGCCTTGCGTCTACTTAGGTTTGGCCATCTTTTCCCACTCCTGTCTCTGTGGGGTTCCTTGAAGAGTTTTGGTTTGACTCCTGCTGCCTCCCTTCCTCTTCTGTCCTACGAGGCAGGAGCATTTATGGTGAGACGTTTCCCGATGAGAACTTCAAGCTGAAGCATTATGGGATCGGGTGGGTCAGCATGGCCAACGCTGGGCCCGACACCAACGGCTCGCAGTTCTTCATCACCCTGACCAAGCCCACCTGGCTGGACGGCAAGCACGTGGTGTTCGGAAAGGTCCTCGATGGCATGGTAACTCCCGTCCTCCCTCTTTCCACACTTGGCGTGTGTGAGGCCTCGCAGGGACTGATGTCAGTCTCAAAGTATATCGTCAGAGGTCGGCATCTTCCGATATGAGGAAGGATTATAAAAAATGAGCCACTGGCACCCAGGAGAAGAATGGTTTCGACCATTCCCCAGCAGGCTTTGAATCGGATCCTTTGCTATTCTTTGAGAAATGACAGCATGGATTCTAATTCTCTTCACAATTGCTGCTTGCAGCCAGGCACCCAGGGGTCACACCTTCTAATGTGCTGGCATCTTCTGTAAAGCATGCATGGTAAGGCATTAGAGAAATTAGGGCACACACGCACCGGCGTGTGCACGCACACACACACACATAATAACACGAATAATAAAAACACTGTTTTCTTCTCCATCTACATTTCTCCTGCAGCCTTCCAGGGTAGTTCTCCATCGCCTAAGCTCACAGCCGAGTGCCGGGCATGACCCACACTGCCCATAACCCCCGACCGTCCCCATGTGCATGCAGCTGGGCTTTGTACTCCTGAAGATCCCAAACATCCTCCTCACACCTTCTACCTGCTGCCTTGATTCTACTCAGTCACCATCCCAGAGATGAGCTGTGTACTCACTGTTCAGAAAACTTATCCAAAGTATTCCTCTCTCTCTTAAGTTTTTTAACTGGAAGTAACTGCAGTTGGAACTCGGGGCTTTGCAGCTGCCAGGACGGTATTCCACCGCTTGATCTGTGTCCATCGCCCTTCTGGCTATAATTTTCTTTAAGTAGTGTCCCAGCCTTTTCCCTGAGTAGCTGAAGTGATAAACGCTCCAGCATACTCAGCTTTTTCGCTCGGGCTGGCCTGGAACTGCCATCTTCCCCATCTCAGCCTCCCAAATAGCTTGGACTACACATGTGAGCCACTACGCCCGGGCAGAGCATCTTTCCTGGTCCCTGATGTCCTTTGTCCATTAGTGTGAAGCACCGGTGGTCTGGGGGCCTGTGAAGCCAGCCAAGGCAGAGAACAGAACCCAGCTCAGTGCCCGACTCAACACTGAGATCGATGGCTCAGATCACTTTGGAAATGGGCAAACCCAGAGCTAGGACCCTGTTACATCTAGCTTCTTTGGGTTTATTTTGTTATGTCCAAACTAGTACCAGAACAGAAGGGTCGCTTAGACTCCACACTAACTCTTAGTTTAGTGGTAGCAGGTAAGTAGAAATGCCTTCTGTCAGAGCCAGGTGCTTAGAAAGAATCCAACATTATTAGAATATCAAGTACTTCCTAAAGAGGAAATGAGAAAATAATACCAATATATTATCTGATGAACAAAGTGGTGAGTAAATTTTATTGTGATCTATATCTATATTATTGCCATACATGTATTGCATATATATGCTTGTAAATGTGTAGCACACATTTTTCCATCCCCCATTTCTCTACTTCCATAGTTATAAGTTTTCACACCTAGCTTGATTTTATTTTTTTTCATTTTCTTTTTCCTAGTATCAGGGCTTAAATGCAGGGCCTTGCTAAACTGTTTATTTTTTTAATCTCTCTCTCTTTCTCTCTTTCTCTCTCACTGACTTGTCGGTCATGGGGCTTTAACTCTGGCCCTTCAGCACAAGGGGAGCACTCTACCATTTGAGCCACAGCACCACTTCCGGTTTTCAGGTGGTTTATTGGAGATCAGAGTCTCAAGGCCTTTCCTGCCTGGGCTGTCTTTATATCACCATCCTCAGATCTCAGACTCCTGAGTAGCTAGGATGACAGGTGTGAGCAGTCAGTGCCTGGCTACTCTCTCTTTTTTATTGTTATTATAAAGGTGATGTACAGAGGGGTGATATTACATAAGTCAGGTGCAGGATGTATTTCTTGTTGGATGATGTCACCCCTTCCCTTGCTCCTGTTTTTTCCCTCCCATACATCCACACGTTCTATAGTTAATTTTCATCATAGTGTCTAGTGAGTACCACTGTTGTGTTTGTTCATCCTTTGTCCCTCCATTTCTGTTCCTCCTTATCTTCCCAAAGACAGGTAATTGAACAAATGAGACAGAAAACAAAAACATCAACAAAGAAAAAAAGCTTGTTTCCATTTCTTGGAATTCATCTCAATAACCTTACTAAACTCTGGCTTTTCTTCTTCAAGACACTCTACCACCTGAGCCACGCCTCCTGCACAGCTTTTGCTAGTTAACTGGAGATGGAATCTCTCATACTCATCTTCCCAGGCTGGCTTCAAACCACAAACCTCCAGATCTCAGCCTCCTTAGTAGCTAGGATTACAGTAGTGGGCCACTTGTCCCAAATACTTGCATGATGTTTGTAATGATAAACATTTCGTACTTGTAAGTGCAGAGCTGAGTTGGTCACATCTTGGGACTCCCGTAGCTGTCAGTCAAAACTGAGTTCCATGTCCGCACTTGCCTCCCCAGACCGTGGTACACTCCATCGAACTTCAAGCAACTGACGGGCATGACCGTCCACTCAGCACCTGCTCGATTGTCAGCAGCAGCAAGATAGATGTGAAGACGCCCTTTGTGGTGGAGGTTGCCGACTGGTGATGACCAGGAGAAAAGAAAACACTCTCGCCGGGGTGTGTGTGTGTACACAGGTGTGAGTGTGTCTGAGCGTGCACGTGAAATATGTGTGTGCCTGCTGGCCTGTGGCTGTCGATTCTCCAGTTTCTGAAAGTTTTGCTTTGCTTTATTATGCTTTTTTAATTTGCCACTCTTTATCACAGGAAAAAAATTTAAAAACTCATCACTCAATTGGGTGCCGGTGCTAATGCCTATAATCCTAGCTACTCAGGAAGCTAAGATAGGAAGAGTGCAATTTGAAGCCATCTGGGCCAGGAAAACCCACGAGACTCCTGATTAATCAGAAAAAAAAAAAGCCTGATCTGTGGCTCACGGTGGAGTGGCAGTCTTGAGTAAAGCTGAGACAGCAGCCAGGCCCTGAGTTCCAGCTGCAGTTCCAGCACAGACAACAGCACAAACCCACTCAATGTTTGCTCTCTGTGACTTGATAAATCACCTGTTCAGGGTCTTTTGAATTGAAAAAAAAAAAATCTCTTCCTCTAATGGTGCTAGTTTACATTAGAAAGACTGTATTGGCTCTTTAAAGAACACAATCATTGATTTAGTTTCTCCTAAACTCATTGGTATCTCCATGTTGGGTGGTGCTGAAGATTTGTTTGAAAAGATGAAGACCTGAAGTTTATTATAGTGAATTCAATCATTTTTTGCTGGGCAGATGGAAGTTGGATTGGTACAAACTGATGCACATCATAAGCAGTTTTGAGTGATCGAAGGCGCTTTATGTTCTCCATATTAAATACTTTTGATATAAATTTTTTTTTTGTAAGAGTTCCTTTAAAATTTAAAGTTCTTCAAAAGTAAGTACAGAAAAGTAAATATACATGGAAATATACAAATACACTTCAAAAGTAAATACACAAAAGTAAATATACATCTGTAATCCTAGCTACTCAGGAGATCTGAGATCCTGGTTTGAAGCTAGCCAGGGCAGACAGATCTGAGAGACTTACCTCAAATTAACCAGCAAAAAGCTGGAACTGCAGGTATGTTTCAAGTGTTAGAGTGCCAGCCTTAAGAGAAAAAGGAGAAAAAGGTAAGGGACAGCGCCCAGGCCCTGAGTTCAAGCACTAGCCCCAGCACTTTAAAAATAGCTTTTATGTGTAATAGATGTATAAAATGTATTCACTCTAGTGGTAATGATGAACACATTACAAAGAGTTTTATGAATCGAAATACACAATTAGGTAATTTGGAATGGAAAGTCATAGAAATTATGTCCATCACATCCCAAATACATATGCTGATGATTCACTGTTTCACTCACAGTAACAGTAACATTATTAGAAAGTTCCCTCGAGTCTAGTTGCAGTGGGAAGGAAGAAGGAATCTGTTAGTCCCTTGCATGGTTACAATTATGATTCAGGTTGTTTTTAAGCCAGATAGGACAGTAATGCCCTCCCCGATGAGAATCCGAGCTTTACAGTAATAAGCCTAGTCTGTCCAGATGGGAAGGAAACAGCCCGTAGCTCTTATCATACACCCAACAGAAACCAAAAAAACCCAGCTAAGAAAATAGTCTCAACAGCAGATGCAAGTGGCCCTGCCTACCACTGCTGTTGGGGGCAGAGTATGTGGATCACTAGCACTCTTGTAGGACAGTATGGCGGCCCTTGCTGTTTTATGTTTAAATGTTTATTGTTAAGTAGTCGTACAAAGGTGACAGCTCCACACACACGTTTATTGTGGGTCTTGTGGATGCCAGGGGCCAGTTGGAGCTTTGAGGATACAGCAGTGAACAGAGCCTGGCAGCGGAGGTCCCGCGGGGAAGACAGAGGAATGAAAGGGGTGGTGAGAGCCACGAAGAGCTCCTCTGGCCCTGGGGAGGCGGTGAGGCCTGCCCCGTGAGGCCAGCTAGGAGCGCAGCCTTGTGGGATCTGTCCACGCAAAGGCTGGGAGGAGGGCAGGCAGGGCCACCAGGGCAAGCCAGGCAGGGATGAGGGATTGCAGGGCGGAAAGCTTTTTTGGTGGCTCATTGGAAACTCATCTCACAGACTTTCCTGCCTGAGCTGGTTTTGAACCATGATCCTCAGATCTCAGCCTCCCGAGTAGCTAGGGTGACAGGTCTGAGCCACCAGCATCTAGCCTTTTGGGGGGTGGTCAGGGGGCACCTTAGATCCAAACCACAATAGACGGATATACACCTGGACTGCCGGAGTCGATAAGTCCCATGACAAGCATTTACTCAGTACAGGTCAGGGCTCTGACAATGTCAGCCCTCACAGCTCCATGAAGCTGACAAGAAATTCAGAAACACGCCACATGGATACGCGGCAGGAAATCAGCTGGGAGGTAAAATGGGAGAGGGGTAGAGGGAAGGTGGTTGAGGCCAGCCCGTGTGGGGACTGAGGGAGAAAGGGAGCCACTAGCGATGGGGACACTGGAAGAAGAGAAAGTGGGCGGAGGGACAAGCACAGAGCTCCCCCCGTGGCAGGCTGGGCTCCAGAAGCAGCAGAGAGGCCTGTGCAGAGCCTGGAGTGGGGGAAGGGCCAACAGAGCATCCCTGGGCCTGGGCCTTGGTGATGGCCTAGGCCTGAATAGTTGACCCCAGTGAAGTGAATGATGCTCAGTCGTGGGACTTCCTATAAGATTATTAGGAAAGTCAGCCCTCTTTCTGCAGGAGGACTAAGAATGAACTCATCCAGAAGGGAGCCGCTCTAAGAGATAGTTGATTCACACCCAGCTTTCCATGACACAAGCCAATCATCTCTGGTTTTGCTTAGGCCAGGGCGAACTGATCTCCCTTGACTTGTAACCTAAGGTCTTTGTCTAATACAGCGATACTGAAAACATTTTCTGATAGAGACAAGGATAAGGAATTGCTAACAGAAACTTGAACCCCAAATGGTTATGAAGCCTCCATCTCATGATAGTGAAGCCTACATCTCTGAAGACTGGTATGGCAGATACGAATGCAGATAGGGTTATGTTTAAGGAAAAGGGCAGAAGTTCTGCATGTAGCAGAACGAGATCAGACTCACACAAAGTAAATGCAAGGGGTGGGATTTTTTTTTTTTTTACATTTAAAACACATTTTTCCAATTTAAGGCCTCGGTTTGTGAGCACAGTGTATCCAGATCAACGTCACCCCTCCCTCCCAACCCCACTCCATCCCTCAGTTTCCCCACTTCCATTTTCACATATGTTCGTTGAATATTTCCACCCTTCCTCTCTCCACTGTCGACTCTCGTTTGACCTCACTTCCCCTTGGACCCCCAGGTCTCAGAGTCCTGGTAGTCATTTTGTTAGACTGTACACTAATTGTTCAGAGGAGTTATACTATTGGAATCCTCCCCTGCATGGACCATATTCTAGTTCATACGTTTGTGTATATATTCAAACGATTCTGTTTGTGCTTACACATATATTTATCACAAATCTAACTTTCACATATGAGAAAAATCATGCATCTTTTGTCTCTCAGAGCCTGAGTAACTTAGCATAAATTTTTACCAGTCCATCCATTTCCCTGCAAATGATGCGCTGTCATTCTTCCTGATGGGTGAGACTTCTTACTCTTTATTTCTTTTCTTTTTTTTTTTTTATTGTGAAAATACTGTACAGAGTTACCCTTTATTTCTGTACTTAATTTATTTTTATCTTCTCCTTTGGAATTTTCTTAACGCCAATCAGTTGGCCTAGGGGTTTTATCTTCACGTGTCCATGTGTGCCCCTCCCATGGCTCTTCCCCTCCCCCTCCTCCTCCCGCTTGCTCTGTATCCACACGTGTGCATGTTCACCCTTCCTCTCCCTCACCCTTTGCCTTTCCTCTCCTGTCAGCTCCCACCCTCCAAAAAGCTTCAACTTCCTCACCTGCCTGGTAATTGCTCAAAAGGATTTCACCAACATCTGGAGGTGTGGCTCAGCAGTTTGGAGCCAGTCTTACCTTATTTAAAATAAAAATGACCTAGGGCTGGGAAGGTGGATCAGTGGTAGCGCGCTTGCCTTGCATGCATGAGGCCCTGGGTTCGATTCCTCAGCACCACATAAGCAAAAAGAAAAAAGCCGGAAGTGGCGCTGTGGCTCAAGTGGTAGAGTGCTAGCCTTGAGCTGAAGAGCTGAGGGACAGCGCCCAGGCCCAGAGTTCAGGCCCCAGGACCAGACCCGCCCCCCCAAAAAAATAAAATATAAAAGACCTAGAATGGAATTAGGAATAACTGACCTTTTATATGTGCAAAAGTGCCTTTAGCCTCTGAGGTCAGAGGGCACAGCAGCTACTGCGACTCTCCCCGGGGACCCCTCCCTCCCCGCCCAGCCTTCTACTAAGTGTGCTACCAAGGGTTTAGCAAGTGCCCCGTTCAGCGACAAAGCCAAAGCAGTTTGTGTTGGAAGTGCTGAAATTCTGAGACCACGCTCACAGGTAATAGATTATCACATCATCGATCTGTTGTGCAAATGACACTGGCAGAGAGTTCTTAGCCTGTTGGGTGTCAGTGGTTCAGCCCGTAATCCTAACTACTCAGGTCTGAGGATCACTTTGGAAGCCAGCCATGGCAGAAAAGCCTGTGAGACGCTTATCCCCAAAAAGCCAGAAGTGAAGTTGTGGCTCAAGTGGTAGAGCACCAGCCTTGACACACACACACACACACACACACACACACACACACACACACACACACACACACACACACACACACACACACCAAAGGGAGGGGAGGAATGAGTTTATTTCTCCTCTGATGTGTTCTCCATGAAGGCATCAGATGAAAACATCAGCCAACTGGATGGCTGTGGAAGTAAAAGAGAACTGATCATTTTATAGGCCAGCATGTTCAGCGAAAGCTTTTGAAATACACTTTGGGGCTGGGAAGGTGGCTCAGTGGTAGAGCGCTTGCCTTGCATGCATGAAGCCCTGGGTTTGATTCCTCAGCACCACATAAGCAAAAAGAAAAAAGCCGGAAGTGGCGCTGTGGCTCAAGTGGTAGAGCGCTAGCCTTGAGCTGAAGAGCTGAGGGACAGCGCCCAGGCCCAGAGTTCAGGCCCCATGACCAGACCAAAAAAAAAAAAAAAAGAAATACACTTTGGTTATTTTGTCAGAGGACACAAGAGTGTCCTGGGAATGGGAATGGAATCAGGAAAATATTAACTGGACACCATGGCCAAGCCCGAATTATTACCATTTAGTCTAGGATCACTTGTTATAAACGATTTTGAACGTGGTGTTGTCCTCAGCCACAGTCTGTTTTATTCTCTTTCAAGGGCTATTCAGCCATTTTCTGTATCATCAACTAAGAATTCAGTGAAAATTATCCATGGGTCAGATTAGTTAGAATGACATTTTGGGAATTATCTCTTACTTCATTTCTGATGAATTTTTAGATTTTGAACAAAATTTGAACCTCATTTCTCAGTTCAGCCGTTTTGAGTTACATAAAGACCAAAACATGGCAAGGATTTTATAGCAGGAAAAGGGTTTTTGTTTTTGTTTTCCAATATTCTTATAATTCAGACAGCTGAAGAAATCTTTGATCTAGAAGGTTTGGCAATTCAAAGACCCTTCAGGGCACTTTTCCCCCTTCCAAATTAAAAAAGAGTAAAAACAGTATTTGTAATGGAAAATGTTGGTGCCATAAAGGACATTTATGCCTTTCACTTAATTCTGTAATTCATCTTGCAGATTGAAGACATTGGCCCAGAGTAAATTCTAGGTGTGATATAACATAGCTTGCTCCAAGGCTTTCAAGTGTTGTTGAGATGCCGGAGGAGAGGGAAATAGCTGCTGGCATTAATGCAGAACTGGATGAAACTGTGTCAGAAAGAAATGTTCTATGTGGGATAAAACAAATGCATTTCAAAATTGATTCATGGAATCTTTTTTTTCCGTCAGTTGTGGGGCTTGAACTCTAGGCCTGGGCGCTGTCCCTCAGCAATTCAGCTCAAGGAGATTGCTCTACCACTTGAGCCACAGCGCCACTTCTGGTTTTCTGGTGGTTAATTGGAGATGAGACTCTCAAGACTTTCCTGCCCGGGCTGGCTTTGAACCATGAACTTCAGATCTCAGCCTCTTGCGTAGGTAAGATTACAGGCGTGAGCACCAGCACCCGGCTTGATTCATGGAATTCTTATCCCATGACTAAGTTACAATAATCGGGAGTCACAAATTTGGAGAAGCCAATACACCCAACCCCCATCTCTCCACTCCTTTTTGTGACAGTACCAGGGCTTGAATTTCAGTCCTTGTACTTGCTTTGGCTTGCTTGATGGTGCTCTACTACCTGAGCCACACTGCCAGCACAGCTTTTGGCTGGTTAATAACACGTGGAGTTTCTCAGGCTTGTTTACCCATGCTGACTGACTTTGGACCGCAATCTTCCAGGTCTCACCTCCTGAGTAGCTAGGATTAAGGTGTGAGTTACCAGTGCCTGGATCCTCCCTCTTTTTCTGTGAGTGTGCCAAGCCTGCGGCTTGAACTCAAGGGGGGGAGGGAATGAACTTTCTTGGCTCAAGATTAGCACTCTACCATTTGAGCTGCAGCTTCACGTCTGGCTTTTTGGCAGTAAATGGTGATCGTCTCATGGTCTTTCCTGCTCTAGCTCGCTTTGAACTGTGATCCTCAGATCTCAGCCTCCTGAGTAGCTGGGATTTAGAGGCCTGGGCCACAGGTGCCTCACCGATTCCCTGCTTTTGAGGTCCTGTGGAAGCATGTAGGAAGTGCGTGGACGTCTCCATAGCCTCTCCCGTTTCAGTGTCAGGGATTTGCTCCTGCTCGTTCTAGGCCTTTAAACGCAGCTAGCGTGGCTGTCTGTCCCAGATGGGAGCTCTTAGGCTGGTCTCTGGGTAGAGAACCTTGCATGAAGACGTCCCCTGTCTTCTACCTGGACTCTGAAGGCAGATCTGCTTCGGGGACTCTGGCAGCTGCCCTGTGATGTAGAGGCGCGGGTCTAGTCAGCCTGGAGCAGGACAGGACTCTGTGTCCGGGCCTGGGCCCGCCGCGCAGCCTCACCTCTGCGCTCCACCGCGGTGGCCAGGCCTATGGCTGCCTTGTGCCGCTCCCGGTGGCCTCGGCGTCTCGTGGGCTCAGCGGAGGCCCTGCCGATGGGCGCCCACCCGAGGCCTCGCTGCTCACTCCCTCGGTGTCCCCCACCTCCTCCCTGGACCAGAATGAGGGGTAGATGCTGAGTCGGCTACCCCCGGACAGAACGTGATCCACACCCAACTGCTGCTCCATCTGTAGGCCTAACACCGGCGACCAGCAACACCACACCTCGTTTATACTCGGCGGCATGAGAATCCCTCAGGCCGTAATGGTTAAACACTGGCATTTGTATTTCAACTCTAGTGTTTTCCCAAGAGCATCTATTTTTAAAAACAAAACCAACAAGGAAGTTTTTCCATTTGACCCTTAAATGGAAGTAGTCTGGCAGAAGTCAGGCAAGTAGTTGCTGGGTGTGGTGGTAGACGCCTGTAGTCCCAGCCTCTAAGCAGATGGAGGCAGGAGGGTTAAGCCTGAAGCCAGCCTGGGCTAAATACTTACAAAACCCTGTCTCAGCCCAACATGTGACCCCCAAGCGCACAGCAGTCATACTGAAATGACACGGACTGTCGCAGCTTGGGGAGCCAATGAGGTCCACACCCGCGGTTGTACCCGAAGGCAGGAAGCAGCTCAAGTGTGCAGGCCACGTTTCCAGTCATACTCTTAGGACATCGATTTCTCTAGCAAATGACGTATACTCCAGTGGCCCAACACCGTCATAACACCTCCCCTTAATACAGGAATCTGAGTCCCTGCCTTCGCTGGAGCTGTGTCTGCGTGGAAAGCCAGCCAAGGCCCAGCGTGTCGTTTGCTCCTTAGCCTGACTTTCTGCTGCTGAATTCAAAGCCTAGAATTACCATTGAGGATGAAAACCAAAACAGCCTGGAACCGAGCTTCCCGCACGCACAATTTCATAAACCCGAGGTCTCTCCCTAGTAAATGGCTGGAAAACTCCAGCAAAGCCAGCATCACATGACCACCACAGCGGCTAAGGCCCCGGGGAGTGAACGCATGACGTGAACAGCACTTGTTTATCCGTCTGCCATGTTGATGGAAACTGCCTCAAACAAACCAGCCTACAAGCTTTCTCCGAGCCCCATCCTCTGGCCAGGCCTGGAATCCCAGCTACTCAGCAGGCTTCAACCTGGAGGATCTGAGTTCAAAGCCAGCCTGGGCAGAAAAGCTCATGGGACTGTCTCACCAAGTAATGAGCAAAAAGCCATGCTAGCAGTATGGCTCAAGTGGTAGAACACCAGCTGTGAGTGAGCAAGCCAAGTGAGCATTGGGACCCGAGTTAGCTCTGGAAGTGACACTCCATCTTCTATTAGCTAACAAAACTGGGCTGGAGGCGTGGCTCAGCCTTGAGCAGACAAGCCAAGTAACCCTCGGTTCAAGTTCTGTTACTGGGATACACATACGCACACAGGAAATGGGACTATCCTGCTAAATCATCCAGTATTCAATGAGTATTTATTGGCTTAATAATAAATGCTTAGAAAGAAGTGAGAGGTTTTATGTTTGAGTTGCATAAAGTTCCAGGCACAGAAGACAAATTCAAATATTTCTTGCTTTCTGTTTTTATTTAACTCAAAATAGCCAGTAACATAAAAACATTTAAAAAGTATCTGCAATACATGACTACTCAGTTATTTGGGGTTGACGGAACTTGATGTTTAGTTCTTGCTCATTTCCAATATGTACTATAACATAATCTATCATAAAATATATCCTTAAAAGTTTTCAGGGGGCTGGGAAGGTGGCTCAGTGGTAGAGCGCTTGCCTTGTATGCCGGAGGCCCTGGGTTCAATTCCTCAGCACCATATAAGCAAAAAGAAAAAAGCCAGAAGTGGTGCTGTGGCTCAAGTAGTAGAGCGCTAGCCTTGAGCTGAAGAGCTGAGGGACAGCGCCCAGGCCCAGCCCAGAGTTCAGGCCCCACGACTGGATCAAAAAAAAAAAAAAAGTTTTCAGCAGGGGGTCGACCTGTATCACTGAATTCTAATAAAAATTCATGATATAGTTATTACGCTTGATTTTAAATATTTTCTCCTACACAGAAACTTATGAGAACTACCACAAAATTCTGAATGAAATGCCCACCTATGGCACATCCATGCAGAAGGACCTATGCTTTGTTCGTGTACTGCTCAGAACATGACGGTGGAATTGAGTCACCCACACTTCACTCAGCTCATGAGGTGAATGGGAAGGAACCAATGAGGAAGACCAGACATGCTGGAGCAATGCCACTGGGTGGCAAATGCTCACCCGTGGGTGGAGGCAGAGGACCACTGCCCACGGGCGGCACTGTCCACAGCCCTCCGCAGCTGCTTCGCAGGCAAGCGTCTTGCAGGGCTACCTGGGATCCTGGTGTCAGAAGGTGTGTGTTTCCCCCTTGTTTTTGTCTGTGCTGCACCTCGGCTTCAACGCAGGGCCTCGGCCTTTCTGCTCCAGGCTCATGTTCTACTCCTTGAGCCACGCTTGCACTGCCAGCCTTTTGCTCATTAACTGGAGATAAAGTCTCACAATCTTTCCTGTCCCAGGCTGGCTTCAAGTCAGGATCCTGAGACCTCAGCCTCCTGAGTAGCTTAGGGTTACAGGCAGAGCCGCCAGCGCTGGCTAAGTGTATGCTTTGTAGACAGACTCCCTGCAAACCTACCAACAGCATCAGCCGGTCTGCAGTCATGCTCATCTCTCCCAAGATAGAGGAAACTGCTGTGTGTTCAGACTTCCAACATGGCACCTTTCCAAAGGGCGCACACAGACGGCGGAAGCCATCCCAGGCGCTGCACGTGTCAGTCACCAGGCTGAGCTGTGTAAGGCGGGATTCTGTCAGAGTCATGAATTCCCAGTCTGGCTCCTTCTTCACGGTTAGGCCGTGGTGTCTGGGAGCCTCCCGTGATGCTTACGCTCCCACTCGAGGCAAGGCAGAGGAGTGAGTAACGTGCTCTGAACAGAAAAGCCAGCAACGCTGCTCCACCCGAGACACAGGAGCTTCGGCTGGGAGGCAGAGCGCAGCTTCGGGGTGGGACACGTGGGCTCACGCAGGCTCACGCGGGCTCACGCGGGCTCACGCGGGCAGCCACCATTTGCTTCGAACACTGCGTCCGAACCACCTCTTGGGTTCTGTTTTGAAAAGCGCCATTCACATGGAGACATCCTGCCCTGAACTACTGGGGCTGGGGCTGAATTTCTCCCCTAGCTCGAGTTGGGTCCGTGCAAGTGAGTTTGGCAGATATCGGTTTTCTGGACTACGAGTTTGAAACTCTTCGGAGGACTTCTACCTGGGCTGCGGATGGGGGTAAAAGACCCCGTGGAGGACTCCTTCGATAACCACATTTGGAAAGTCTGCAAAACAAAAGGAACACTGCTTTTCATAAGGGTGTCCATCAAATAACGGTATTTTGCAGCCTTGAAACAGAAAGCCAGAGCAGCCCACAGCCACAGCCACAGCCACAGCCACAGCCACAGCCACCGCCTGGGGTGGGCGTGGCCTCCCAGCCGGCCCTGGGTGTGCCATCCAGCTATCCATCACTCATATCTGGGGCTGGAGACACTCTCTCTCCCGCCAGGCTCTGCAGGAATGTGTGGCCAGATTTGTAGCCTATTGATTTAAGGGATGTTCTAATGGTGAACACGGCTAGGCCAGCTCTTTATCTGAATGTTTTCTCACAAGGAAGATGGATTACACTGGCAATTCAATTTCTAACAAAATCTCAGTATACTTGAAGGAATTCCCAGATTTCTACTGGGAATACTTGGCTGCAGTTTTTCCACTGTGGTTTACAGCAGCGTGGAGTCTAAATTGTCTTGAGTATACTTGTTCTGTTAAGGTTCTGCTCTCTATAAAAGAGCAGAAAGAGGAGGCCGGCCTTCTTAACCTAAAAGGGCAAATTCTAATCAAAAGCTATCCTAGTCAACTTAGAAAATCAGCTCTGTTTTTATTGGCACTACAAAGGAAACCCAGAGGTACAGAGCACTGAGTGTCACATTCTGGGTATCAGAGCAGGAGAAATATGAACAGCTTTGATTAAATGAGACCCAATCTCTTTCTTGGTTTAAGTGTGTGTGTGTGTGTGTGTGTGTGTGTGTGTGTGTGTGTGTGTGTGTGTGTGTGTGTGTGTGTGTGTGTGTGTGTGTGTGTGTACACCAAGGCTTGATCTCAGGGCCTGAAGCTGTTCCTGAGCTTTCTTGCTCAAGTCTGGTACTCTACAACTTGAGCCCCAGGCTGGCTTCAAACCATTATCCTTCCATCTCAGCCTCCTGAGTAGTTATGATTATAGGTATGAGCTCCTGGTGCCCAGTCAAAAGTTTCATTTTTAAATTTCAATCTATACATAGTCACAGCTACAAGTTATGCTAAAGCCAAGCATAAATACATGCTTCTTTAATAATTATGTAAGGAAACTGAGCATACCAGTACTGTAAGGCAGAGAAAAATAAGTTGACTGATCATGCTCTATAGAATAAGTACTGTGTTGTATCAGGTACTAAGGATTTCAGTCTCATTAGGAAGGCAGCAAGACTTCAGGCAACTATGAGGCAGGAAGAAGCGAGAGAGCGTTCAGAGACCCCAACAGAAGACAGGCAAGAAGAGTCACGTGTGAAGAGGCTGGAGGGTAGAGGGTGCCGAGAGATGCCTAAAACAACAGAAATCCTGGCTTTACCTGCGACTCTACGGAAGGGATTTAAACCAAGTGAGATGGCTTAAATTGTATTTTGAAAAAACGACACAATGTACACACACATACATGTGTATGTGCACATCTATCTATCTATCTATCTGAATATACATATAACATCAGTTAAATTATGGGACTATTTAAGAGGAGAAGGGGAAGCAAAAGGGAAAAAGAAAAGGTATATATTATTAAAACAATGCAGCTATATATGAAAAGAGCATAATGAATCTCAGTCAAGCTGTTAGTGATTTGGGTTGGGGGCAGGCAAGGTAGAAGGCTCCATTGAGTAACAGGCCCCAGAGAAGGGGGCTGTGCTACCACGGCAAGTGAATGAGGAGGAATATGATCCAAGTAGTTCATCTTCACGTGTAAACATTGAAGAGAAGAGAAGAGCAAAGAAGATGACTGGCTGTCACGCACACGAGTTCTAAGTGGATACAGGTCAGTCCCATAGCTGTAGTAGCTCTCGAGGGAGATCATGGTGGAGGGTAAAGGGAAGCGGATGGTTTCTCAAGAATGAAAGAAGGCCGGGCGCCGGTGGCTCACACCTGTCATCCTAGCTACTCAGGAGGCTGAGATCTGAGGATCGCGGTTCAAAGCCAGCCTGGGCAGGAAAGTCCATCAGACTCTTCTCTCCAATAAACCACCAGAAAACCAGAAGTAGTGCTGTGGTTCAAGTGGTAGAGCACTAGCCTTGAGCTGAAGAACTGCGGGACAGTACCCAGGCCCAGAGTTCAAGTCCCATGATCAACAAAAAGGGGGGAAAAAAAAAGAATGAAAGAAGTTACCTAACAGTAGATTAGGTGTGATGAACGGTAGGAAGAGAGAAGCCCCCCGGGGGCTGCTGAGCATGTGGCCTGCACCTCCAAGGGGAGGGGAAGAAGACCCAGATTGAGAGGGAAAGAAAAACCATCAGCTAGGCTCCAGTGGCTCAGACCTGTGGTCTCAGGAAACCGAGATCTGAGGATCATGGTTTGAAGCCAGTGAGGGCAGGAAAGTCTATGAGACCTATATTGGCAAGTTGCTACCAAAAAGCCAGAGGTTGGAGGTGTAGCTCAAATGGTCGTGTGTCAGCTCTGAGCGCAAAAGCTAAGGGACAGGGCTCCATCTGGCAGTACACACACACACACACACACACACACACACACACACACACACACACACACACAAAATAAAAAAAAAACAAAGATCATATAAATACTTTATAAAAATACTACCTAATGCCTGGCGCTGGTGGCTCATACCTGCAACCCTAGCTACTCAGGAGGCTGAGATCTGAGGGTCATAGTTTGAAACCAGCCCAGACAGAAAAGTCTGTGACTCTCTTATTTCCAGTGAACTATTCAGAAAAAGTCAGAAGTGGCACTGTGGCTCAAGTGGTAGAGCACTAGCTTTGAGCAAAAGAAGCTTAGGGAGAGTACCAGGCCCTAAACTCAAGCTCCAAGACTTGCACCAAAAGACAAAAGAAAAAACAAACCACCACCACCACCAACAAAAACCCAGCTGCCTACTGCAGCTGCCTAGGTAGCTTTGTGAATATTTACTAAATACAACATTAGCATTGCTAGGCAGAATCACATGTATCTCTGTTAAACACGGGCAGCTGAGCGCATGCAAGAGGCAACTAACGACTCCACACTGACAAGACCTTACAGGAGAACCACTGAGATGACACTCTTTATAGCGATGGCAGCTCTGTCACCAGGGTGCTAGGAAGGGAAAGGCTGGAGTCTTGGTCACAACCAAGAAGGAAAAGCGGGTGATCTGAGTGAGTGTGGGCACACAGCAGTGCTTTGTCTCTTTCTGGGGGTGAAGTTTTGCTGTCAGAAACAAGGAACGGCTTCGGAGGCTCCTTTCTCTATTGCTGTCTATTCAGCATGCTGTTTTAGTGCCTCTCGGAAACAAAGGCGGAAAACTTACCAGGCACCAAGCACAGAGGAGAATTCAGGCAACAAGGTCTGTTCCCGCGCAGGTCCGGTCTCACACCTACCTGGACCCTCATGTTCATAGTCAGCCTGTGCTAATGCCACCCCTGCCTATTCTCAGGGTTGCTGGGAAAATTAAATGAGATGATGTCTGCAAATGTGCCTAAGTCAACATTTTGAGAAGGACTCTGGGGAATTGGAATGGAGAAAGGACTCCGGCTACCGTATTGATCTCAGTTATACTTCAATCAATTAGTTGTGTTTAAAATATACAACGTCTAAAAATCATAGACTCCACCGTGTAGCATGCTATAGTTTAAATGGACATTGAAAAATAACTGTGACACATCTATGCAGTTTGGGAGAAAGACAAGATCCGAGTCTGGCTATCTTGATTAAAAAAAACAAAACAAAACAAAAAAATGAGCAGAGACCCGAATTATACCACAACGTATCAAAGAAAACAAATACCCCTTCCCTCTGATCCCTTCCTACTCTAATTCAAAATAGCCTGGTCAGAGAGAGAACGAAAAATTACATTTCCTCTAGAAAGGCCGGCCCCAATTAAAATTCTAAATGTCTCTTACACCAAGAGCACTAGTTTATTGGCAGATTATTAAACCTTGGACCAATGTCACTCTGTTAGACCTGTATTAAAAACGTGGTTTATGTGGTGCAGGGTCAGATCAGTAAAGAGCTGTTAGCAGATGACAGGTTTGATTACCGCTGGCTACAGGCAAGACGAATGGATCCCTGAGGAACAGCAGCACTGGCTGGTGGGACAGTTTGCTGGAAAGGTCAAGAACAGGCATGTCAGCATCAGAGGACGACGGTAAACAGAAAACACTACAAACTAGCTTTGAGGGGATCAAACTGCCCAAGGTTTATGCATCTACCACAGAGTGTGTGAAGAGGAGCAAACACATCTACCAGAGCGGGTGAGGAGGAGCAACTCCAGGGAGAGGTGGCAAACCAGCCCTCAGGGTATCAGCTCCCTGTGCTCAGGGAGCTCTGCCCCACAGATACGGTCTACAACCTCTAACGCACTCATGCTGAGATCCTGGGGTATGGTCTCCCAGAAAACAGCATGCACACTGTGCCTACCTGTAATTATAATGGGGTGCTCCCCTCACTTCTTCATCAAACGGTTATAATCATAAAACCAACATTCATGTCACAGGCATTTTTTTTTTTTTGTAACAAAACAAAAACAAAAAAAGCTCTAGGACTAACGAATCTTACCTCGACTCTTCTGATTCTGTCTCATCAAAAGATCTAAAATTGTTGTAAAAGAAGAAAAAAAAAACCAGACCAAGTAAGTCAGTTAGGGCAATGTTTGTGTCAACAATGAAAAAAATTACTAGGATTTTTAGAGCACTGAGTTGGAAAATATTAGGAAAGAGGGAGGTGGCAGGGGACAGGGAGGGGGAGGGGGAGGGGAGGCCCGTGAGCTTGTCTGAAACTATGGATCAGCAGGTTGATGACTCATCTCAAGAAATCCAACACTAGAAGACTCTTGCGTTTCAATTTTCCTTAAGATCACTTCAAAATCCTCAGGTTTCATGATCTGGATTGACTTTGCACAATGGAGAAACTCACGCGCCATCACTGTCTCTTCTTAAAATACTCAACCCTCCCAGTGAACACATGCACCCACCTCGACACCGACCGCATAGACTGCGGGGCAAGCGTGGAGTATGATTAGGGGTTTGGGCACGTGGCTGAGTATGTACAGCTGTAGGGAGGCTGGGACGGGGTGAAGCCCTTCCCCGCTGCTGGTACCTGGACAGATTGTATTCTGCAGGAGGGTGAAGCCTGTGGCAGCTGGCCTCGCCCAGGCATGTGCTTGGAGCTGGGTAAGGGGCTGCTTGCGGACTTAACTCTTCTTTTTTTGGTTGTCCTGGGGCTGAAACTCAGGGCCTAGGCGCTGTCCCTTGAGCGCTTTTACTGAAGGCTGGCACTCTACCACTTGGAGCCACGGCTCCACTTCTGGTTTTCTGGTCGTTAACTGGAGTCTCGTAGACTTTCCTGCCTGGGCTGGCTTCCAACCTCAAGTCCTCACATCGGCTCCTCCTGAGTAGCTGGGATTATAGGTGTGAGCCACCAGTACCCAGCAGAGTTAATGCCTCCAGAGAGCTTTTTCCAGCTGCTGTGGTAGTGAGGCCTGGCTCTCTGGTGGCAGGGACTGGAGTCTGCATCCAGAGCTTCCATGTTTGCGAGACAAGCTACACGTCAGAGGTGGAGGAGGGCTCACACAGTGCAAGGCACGGGTCTGCCTGGCTACAAGGGAAAAGATCTGGGGAAGGGTGAGTAATTCTTGTGTCTCTGTGTAACCACGAAATGAAAGGAATTGGATAAAAGAATCTGAAGGGTGATTTTAGCTTTAGAATGATACAAATATGTTAGCCAGGGAGTTGTAGGCTTGGCGGACATATCTACAGGTAAACAAACTATCCCTAAATAGGCTATCTAGACTCGGTTTCCTCCAGGTAACAGCTCTCTGGGCAACTTGGAAGGTCCTTATGACAAAGCATGACTTACAGAGCCTTAGCCGGCTGGCTGTAGGATGGAGATAAGGACTTAGGGGAAAAATTCCTTAAACTCTAAGTGGAAGCAAGCAAGTGTGACCCAACCAAGACTGGGGCCCTGCGGGGACCATGATGAGATACTTGCTAGGCTAACCACTTATCCCACAGCGACCTACGCTACAGATCCAAGACAGAAACAGTTCTCACCCACAACTTTCGGCCTTTGGTAGAGAGGGCAAGTGTCTGACGTTGAGGAAATCAAGAAAGAGTTTGGGAAGTTCTTCATTTTCTAAAATGACAGCCTGTGAAAGAAGAACACAGAATTAGAAACTGAAATCAAGGTTGCTAGGCAATCAATCAAAGGAATTTTATCCAAAAGTCATAAGTGTCCATCAAAGTCCTCACCAGCAACAGCTCTCCCCACCAATGGAGGTGTTGTACCTATGTCTCCCCAAGAATCTGGACTGACACAGCCATGCAGCATAAGCAGACACTGTACTTCATTCATTTATTTATTTATTCATTCATTCATTCCTTCAACCAGCTTTGATACAGTACCTTCAACCCTTGAAATGCTGGCTCACAGATGAGACGGGAGAACCAGGAAAAATGGTCCATATCTGAACGAAGATCCTAACCCAGAGTGAGTATTTTAATACATGTTAATTCTACTGCCAAGATGTGTAGATCAAATTTCCCTCACAAAATGATAAAGTGGCCTAGTATACACATCTTTTCACAAGAGACTGTCATGAAATAATTTTTTCTAACTGGAAGACTAGGTTTACCTCCTTAGCTATATCACCTATTTTGGTCTAGGATCAGATGACATTGCCTTGTGGACAGCTCTACAATTTTACTGCTAACTGTAAATCAGGGTATATCATTTTTAAAAATCCAGTTTTTCCGTTTAAAGAACTCTGCTAGGGCTTGGAATGTGGCTAAGTGGTAGAGTACTTGCCTAGCATGCATGAAGCCTTGGGTTCCATTCCGTAATACCACATAACAAGATAAAGCCAGAAGTGTGGTGCAAGTGGCAGAGTGCTAGCCTTGAGTAGAAGAAGCTCAGGGATAGTTCCCAGGCCCTGAGCCCCAGGACTGGCAAAGAGAGAGAGAGAGAGAGAGAGAGAGAGAGAGAGAGAGAGACAGACAGACAGAGAGACAGAGACAGAGACAGAGAGAGAAAGACAGACAGAGACAGACAGAGAGACAGAGACAGAGAGACAGAGACAGAGAAAGACAGGGAGAGAGACACAGAGAGAGAGAGAGAGAGAGAGAGAGAGAGAGAGCGCATGCGCGCTCTGCTAATTAGCTGGAATAATGACATAAACAAGTCAGTACTCCAAGGTCTAAATGATAACAATTTTTAGGGAGAAATGGATGGAAAACAGAATGTCTGTTTTCACATATACTTGAAAAGAATCTGTCAGCAAGTGTGGCCTTCTAACAAATTTGCCACCTCTCCCTCCCTCCTCCCCACTTTTTTTTTTAAACTCAGACTGGCCAAAAAGCACCAAAGATTGTGTGATAGGCTCTGGAATGAACAAGACTCTTTTGCTAACTCACCATGGGTAACTTTTTTCCAGTAGACCATGTTCTTAAAGAACAATGAATGGAGCTCCTTCTTATAATCCTAGCTACTTAGGAAGCTGAAATCTGAGAATCTACAGTTAGTTAGAAGCCATCCCAGGCAGACAACTCTGAGAAATTCTATCTCCAATTAGCCAGCAAAATGCCAGAGGTGGACGCAAGGCTTAAGTGGTAGCGTGCCAGCCTTCAGCAAAGCAAGCAAGACTGGGAGGCCCTGGGTTCAAATACTGCCACAAAACAAACAAAAACAAAAACACCCGAGAGGAAGGGAAGCAGGCAATTACACCGAGTATAACGATGACCTCAGTCAATAGTCCACGCACACGCAAGAAAATAGAACTAGGAGCCTGAAGGCGATGGATGGGGAAATGCAGGGGAGAGACTAACACAAGGATGGCGGATCAAGGTGTACTGCGCATACACAATGGGCAGGTTAACTTGTAACTCCTCTGTCCAACCATTTGAAGATTTTAAAAAGAAACCATGGAAGGAGGTGGTGACATGTCAGGACCAACCATGGAAGCCGATGCGAAGACACAGAACAGAGGATGAAAGGCAGGCCAAGTTGCGCGCACACATCATTTGACATGCGCGCTTGTTTTCAGCCCTCTTCACATCTTGAACTGCCTCATTTCTCATGAGGTTGTGGAACCCCGCTACCCAGCCACACCCTGAGGTGTACACAGAGTCGGGGATGACCCGAGCTGTCAGTTCTACTAGGCCTTTGTGGGTGGGACTTGCTACACCAATGCCCAATCATAGTGCTGCTTAGTCCCTAGAGACAGGACTGCCTGGGCCTAGCTCCATTCCTCCTGGTGCACCGTCACCTCAGAAGAGTAAGAAATAAAAGAGAAGAAGAATTGTGATAGGGAATTCTACTTCTTATTAACGAAGTACTTACAAGTACTCGCTAGACATCTATCATATGAAGCACTGGTATGGTGCAGGGATCAGAGGCAGTAGAGCAGAGGAGGGGAAGGAGCCTTGTGAAAAGCAAGTAAGCTCACACCAGTTTAGGTGACCTAGAGTAGTACAGTGTTGTAGACTCAAAATACTGTACCATTCCTGAATGATTCCACCCACTCATAAATAGATAATAGGTACTCTGGGTCCTTGATCGTGAAAAAGTAAAAAGTTCATAAAATTAAGGTGGGGGTAAAACCCATCCTCTGTCCAAAGACTTATTTTTATACTACTTCAGTTAAGTTCCTTCGAAGCCTTTGAATGTATCTGCTACTTCTCCCCAAAGGAATTTTTTTGAGTGCCCAGGTCATTATTTTAGTGGCTAGAACTCAGAAGTTCTAGAAATCATGATATATATGCATCTCCAAGTAAGTTTTGCAATGATACCAGAGGCAATGGTTACTGACCTGTTTCTAGCTCTCTACTTAGGAAGACAATGCAATACCTACTGAACAATAATGCTTACATGCTGTGACAAGTACTGAGCTGGTGGCCCGAGCCGTAGTTTTAATTATCTTTACAAGTGGTAGCTTCAGATTTCAAAAAGAAATGAGGGAGGGTGCCACCATCTTATCTCCACCCCCACCTTTTTAAAATAAATTAAATCAATAACAAGTGTGGGACACTTTTAATGACCTGAACTACTTAATTTCCAGGATCTTAAGACATGCCATCCATCACAGCAGTATGGAGCAAGACATGTCTCGAGTGTTCCGGGGTTACTTTGGTTTTATTAATGCAAGATTTAGGGAATTTTAACAAGGTGAATTGTTTATTTGCCTTGACAGATTGGCTTGCAATGCACTGGCTACATCTATAGCATGATCATTAATGACAAAAGACAGGCAAAAAGCTGTTTACACTGCAACATGGGGACGGGGAATTAATCCGCTCAGCCTCTGAGCTCTCCAAACAGATGATCACATTGTTGGAGTTAAGACATTCTGGCCAAGGCAACACTGAAAACTCCAGAAACTTGGAGCCTTTGCTTTTGTTCCTTGAATATTCTCAATTAATATTTTCCAGAAAATCAGGAACAACCATTCTTGAGGATTTAAGAGTTCTAAAGAAAGCAACACCGTGGGGAGAAGGAGAGGTTAGTTAAGCCTTCAGTTATGTGGGGCAGGAATATTTTCTAAACTCTGTTAAGACAGCTTGTATGAAAAGAATTAATGCTTAAATCCAAACAGAGATGTAGGGTAATAGGGCAGAATTTACCTAATTTAATATAATATGTACAAGTGAAACAACTGTCATTAATTAGTACAGAAATGCAAAAAGAGGAATTAAATTAGTTCAACCCAATCTTTCGGTTCTTAAACACATGAGCTCACTCAGGAGCCTCACAGAGATCCACTTACGTCTTCTTCATTTCTTGAAAAGCTTTGGGTGAAGAGGGACCCCCCTCCCCTCAAAACCTGCTCAGAGCTGCACCCCAGCTTACTCTCGGTACTCAGGACCCTGGTCTGGCTTAAGTCACCTAGCTTTAAGCCGCAGATAAGTTCTTAGTTCTTACATTTTTGAATGCCAAACTATCCTTTCCCATTATTTCAGACTGTTTGTCTTTCGTCTTCGGTGTTACTCATCTTCGCTGTTACTCATCTTCGTTCTTTAGAAGTAGTGTGGTGTACCGAGCTGGGCTTCAGAGCCAGGCCTGGTTTAGATCTGTCCTCTGTCTGCTTTCAGGAGACTTGGGAGAGATGAAAGGCGACGGCTCCGAGCGTCTCTGCCATACAACCAGCATTCAAAACACGTCCATGCTCTTTCCTTGGAGAATTTTTGCTCTATCAGATCCCAACAACCAATTTCATCCTTTGTGGACGTTCGGACTATTATCTAGCCAGCGCACAGGCTCCCGGCCCTTTAAGTGCTGAGCAAGGCACTTACGCATGTGATTGGGCTTTTAGAACAGATGTTCCCAGACCTCTGGCCGTCATGGGAGAACACCTGCTTTTCGCTCAGCCCAGACAGGCATACTGCTGGGCACCCTGCTCGGGCCTGGAACCGGACACAGGCGGATCTGTGCTGTGTGCCAGCTTCCCCAGGGACAGGCCTGCCTTGCTCCCGCAGCTCTCTTCCCCTGCTGGAGTGTGCGCTGCCTCCCAATTAGGGTTCATTAATGCTCTCAGCACTGGGCTGCGGCCGACGATGAAACAGGATGGAACACAGTCTGCCTGACAGACTCCAATCTACTGCTTCCCCAGTTCAGGAAAGGAGTTCCTATCCACACTGCCATGTTCTGTGTCCTGTACATATAACTAAATATATATATATATGTACCCGTTAGCCAAGGACTGGTGGCTAAAGCCTATAATCCTGGCTATTCAGGAGGCTGAGCTCTAAGGATCTAGGCCAGCCCAGGAAGCAAATTTGAGAGAATATGCTCTCCGATTAACCAGCCAAAAGCCAGAGGTGGAGATGTGGCTCAAATGATTAAGTACCAGTCACGAGCAACAAAGCTGAGTGCAAAGCCTCACTACTGGCAAACACAACGTAGAACAAATGTGGGGATATGGGCCTGTGCTGGACACGGACAGTCCTGACAGTTGATAGGCTGTGGTAGAAGGATCGCGAGTTCAACACCAGTCTGGGCTACACAGTGAGGCCCTGTCTCAAACAAACCACAGGAAAAAATAATTGAGGAAGAGCCAGAGGGTAACAATGAAAATGTCTGCATAAAAAGAGTCCTCTGATAGTGAGTGCCAAGCATGGAATGAGGCAGCAAAGGGTTGTGGGAAAGAAGAGCCCT